ACGATGCTCTGTGAATCACGTTGATGAGATTTCCACTAATGATTAAATGATTTTGACGGCTTAATCCTTTATCGACAATCTGTAGGAAATTTTGTGATTTAATCTTATTAAAAATATGAGTTTTGGCTTTAGTAGGATTCAAGCCTGCGCTAGTCTCCCACTTACATGAGAGAGAGGGAAATAAGTTCTCGAATAAATATCGGAAAACCATAGCTGAAAGATTAGAATAAGAAATGAAAATATTAAGAGTGTAAAAGATTAAAAAGACAGAATATGAGGAAAGACATCTTATAAACACATCCTTACCTAAGGTTAATGAACTAAAACAGGGCATTAGTTCATTGATATAGGAAAAATCCATTCAATCAATATTAGAAAAGTATGAAAAACTTAAGGGCAAAAGATCTGAAAGTTATTTATATGAAAGTACAAAAATCTATTGTACTACACGTGTAAATATTATTGATGAAAGAAGTCTAGAAAACTAGAATCTCAAGAAAAATAATGAGAATATAAATGCTGAGCTAATAAAGTCTAAGAAAAAGGATCTTAAAATCAAAGAGAAGTATTTTGATATGAAATATTGCTATGATAAAATATTTAGAAAATATTAAATATGCTATCTGGAAGTCAAAAATGATCTCTTGGAAAGTAAAAATCAAGATTTAATCCTAGATCAACTTGGACATGTGTTAAAAAGGAAAATAGGCCTAAATTATGTTACATATGCGTACCTAATAGTATAGTAAACCCAAAGAAATTTGGATCATGAAACCCAAACTTTGATTAGTTTCTCTGAAGAAACCCAAGTGAACCATTTCATGATAGTACTTGGATAGTGGGGGTGTTCAAGATATATGACTAAAGATCAAGGATGGCTCTCTTTATTCAAGTAAACAATAGAGGAGAAGTAACCTTTAGAGATAATAAAACGGAGAGTACACAATGGTATTGTAGATAAATTTCTTTTGAAGATTAGAGTTTTAGTTAAATATATTTTACTTATTAATGGGTTAAAACATAATTTAATTAGCATAAGTCAAGTCAGTGATAATGAAAAAGAATTGAAATTAAGATAGAGGCTTGTATTAGATGATAGAAATAATGAAGTATTGTTTACTAGTGATAGAATAAAATATGCCTATGTTTTAATTCTTACATAAATGAGTAAGAAAAACATATGTTTCATGGCATAGGAGACTTAGGCATATGAATGTTAACACAAAAAATAAATTATCAAAACTCTACTTAGAGAATTACCTATGCTTACAAACATAGAAAATTGTACATGCGTGAGTTGCATCAAGGGAAAATAAGATAGAGAAACATTGAAATTAAACAATATATCTATTCAACAAAACCCTTGGTTTGATTCATCTAGATTTATTTTCTCCAAGGAAGATTGCTAGCATAGGAGAAAAAGAATATGATATGGTTATTATTGACAACTATTCTAAATACACTTTGGTATTTTTCTTAACTCATTAAAATAAATTATTTGATTTTTTATTAGTTTTGTAAAGATATAAAATAAACTTGGTAGATCATTAATATTAGAAGTGATTAGTGAGATGACTTCTTAAATGTCAGATTCTCTAAATTCAGTGATGAATTCGGAATAACATATAATTTTTCAGCTATAAGAATTCTTCAAGAAAATGGAGCTCTTGAAAAGAAAAATAACACATTGTTTGATATTTTGAGTGTAATGTTGTCTGATTATGATCTTCCTCAATACTTCTGGACAAGTAATTAATATAACATGTTATGTGATAAATAAAAATTTTATTAGATTAAAATTAAAGAAAACACCAGATGAAGTACTCAATATAGGAAGATAAATTTAGAATACTTCAAACCATTTTGATGCAGGTATTCCATTCGGATGTGTTGTCTGCCATTGTCGGCCATTGTCGGCCATTGTCGCCATCTATTTCTCTGCCCCTCTACCCATTCTACTGATTTACATGAGCCGTTTGCATTGCCTTCCTGCTAGCAAGGATTAAAACCAACCTAGTTCATGATAGTGTAAATTGTAGGCCTGAACCAGTCCAGCTTATCTTAAAGCAACCACCGCACTTTGGCTCAGCTCAAATTGGCTTGACAGTCTAAGTTCAAATCAACCCACCATTCCAATCCAAACCATCTCAGATCCCTAGTTCATGCCATCCTATTTTGCATATCTAAACTATTCAAGATCACCTGGTCTACACCAACCCCCTCCCCTAGTTTGGTCCAACCCAACCAATCAATCAAGCCAGCCCTATTGATGTCCTTAGTTTTGATAACATAAGTGAAAACTTATTTATAGAACATTATTTAATACGTAATGAAATTTTGATGAAGGCAAGTTAGAAGTTTAATATCGTTGAAATATATTCAAAGTGTATATTGATGATGTTTATGTAATCTTGTGGCTAACAAACAAATCTACAGAGTTATTTCTTTGAGATATTCATATATTGAAATTAATGTAGTAACATAGAGTTTATATAAGTGTATAAATTCAAGTGGCAATATATGTGATGAACTACCTGAAAAATCAAGGAATATTATCTCAGGTTCAAGATTTGAACTCAAAACCTAAGCGATTGAAAGTTAGAAGCCTTAATTGGAAAAACAACTCAAAAATCAAGAAACACTAAGTCAAGTATAAAATTTAAATTCCAAACTTGAACAATAAAAAGTCAAAAGCTTTAATGAAAAATCACGAAGTAACAAAGACACTGGCAAGACTCAAACTCATAACCTAAATGAAGACAAACTAGAAACTTGATTAAAGAAATAGATTGAAAAATCAAGTAGCAATGTCTCTAGCAAGAATAGAACTCGAGATCTGTACACCAACAAATCCAAAGCGTTTCTAATAAGTCATTGAAAAGTCCTAAAAGGAAAGAAATCATTGCCATGTACTCTGCATGGTGTCATGTCAATAAAATACATGGTGATAATGACAAGCATAATGACTATATTCAAACTCAACCCCAACAACAAAGATGATCACCAATAAGTTAAAAATCTTTAGATTGAGTCTCAGGTACAAGAGATATAAGAACAATGGGCTTCAAAGAACATAGTTAGCAAAGCTCATTGGCATGTAAAAGGAGCAGCAAGAAGATATTTGAATTGTATGATCATTTTTCAAGAAAAGAAAAGATAAGAGAACATTTGATAGTAAGATAATAGAACTTGTGAACAGGAAGAAAAAAGTTAAATGAAAACATCTCTACAATGATTATCCACAAGTAAAGAAACATCTTTCTCCATCTACCAGGGTTCAACTACTACAAGCTTCAACGGAGAACTACAGCTGCATCAATATTTCATTCGACAATGGTGATCCAAAGAAATATTTGTTTCAAAGGTTGACTCTCTTCTTTGGCCCATAAGGTACTTGGTTGGTGGTGATGAGAGGTTTGGGGTAAAGCATATGATGTTGAGAGGCTAGTTGCACCCAAAAGAGTATGGTATCTATGAAGATTGGGCTAGTGTGGTTGGACTATTGATCTTGTGAAATCAATATGTATTCTTAAGATGAAATAATAAACTTCGATAGGAAGGATCCTCCTATATTAGAAGTAGCCAAGTGATGATTGAATTATTATAAAATTCTCTATGTTCTTGGTGGTGATGAGTGAATCAAGAGGGAACCCACATAGAGAGAAAGAGAGTCATGAGTAAACTCATACTCAAAAGTAAGAAGCTAAGTTGGAACCTATGTCAACACATCCACCAATAGATAGAAAATGAGAATAAAACATGAGCCATAGAAAATAAATTCACCTCCCACTTGGTGTTTTACCTAGCCTATTTGATCCCTTCAAGCCCAATTGATCTTGTTCAATAGTGGTGTGGTATCGGACTCCTAGCCCACTAGGGCCCATTATTTGTCTCTCTCTTCTCACCTATATAAGAGTCATGTATTCTACTTTGATGCTTTATAGATTCTAGGGTTTTTTACTCATGTGTCAACATGATATCAGAGTCCTAGGTATTCCTCATCGTCATCCTCCTCTCCAGTGTGCTGCTCATCTCCGACATGCCGCTCTCCTCCTCGCTGGCCTCTTCCCTCCTTGGGTGGCTCTTCAGCATCTCCGCTCTTCCCTCTTCAGGTGTTGTCATCTTTGTCATTGTTTTCTTTCTCCTTTCAGAACCGCCCTCCTCACTGCTGTCACCCCTCGTCGGTGTTGTTGCTCTCCTCCTCTTCTTTGGCATCTCCACCATCGCTGTCGAGGCCCTTCATCACTGTCACACCCTTGTCATCGTGCCATTGCTCTCAGGTGCCAAGGGCGCTGCTGCTGCCGTCAAGGTCCCTCCTTGCCGTCATGTCCTCTCTGTTGCCCCCTTGTCGTTGCACCCCAGTCCTTGCCATCGTGCCACCACCATTGCTGCCCCTTGCCATTGCATCACCACCATTACTACCCCTCACCCTCGTCGCCGTCACCTTCGCATTGTCGCCATCCTGCTGTGGCAGCTAGGGTTTTGCCTGCCTCATGGCAAGCCAGCACGGCCCAACGGGCCCAATGCAGGCCAACAGGTCTAGTGTGGCCCAGCTGGCCCCAGCCAGCTCTGCCAGCCCTTTCAGACCAGCTTGTTAGGCCCCGACCAGCCTGCCCCACCCAAGTTGGCCCCACTGCCTACCCCTCCAGCCCAAACCCTCCGGCCTCATGGTGTCATCTCACCCTCCTCCATCACCTACCTCAAAGCCCTCTAGGCTTCTTCCGGCTATTGTTCTCCCTTCTTTGACAATTCCTCCAACTCACTACTCCATGATAGTGCAACTTACTCAACTGGCATATATCTTCAACAACCACAATTATGCATCGTGGGCCTTTGGCTTTGAGCTCATCCTTCGATCTCACATCCATCATCTCTCGGAGTACCCACCTAGCTTTCGTGACCCCTCGTATGTGACATGATCATAGCTCAGCTCGGCCGTCATCACATGGATGCTTCAAAGTATCGAGTCTTGCATTGCCAAGCCACTAACATACATCACCCTAATCTGTCTTCTGTGGCTCACTATGGAGATCATGTACACCAATCGGATGAACATAAATTATGTTGTGGAAATCTTGAATTCTCTTCTCTCCTACAAACAAGGTGATCTCTTTCTTTAAGCTCACTACGGCCACCTCCAAGCCCTCATCTAAGAGGTTGATATCTATCAACTCCCTATTACCAACCTCTTGACCCTCTAGCACTATCGTTAAGAGTTTTATGTTAGGATTTATCTCAGTGTGCTTCATCCGTCCATCACATTCTAAATCTAGGGGTCTATTATCTATAGGGATCACATGTATAATCTCTCATCTCCATCTTCTCAACAGTCTTTTGGGTCACCACTATTACGCTCATCCACTCCTCTTCCTCTCCAAGTGCCACCTCTACTCCTTCAACTCTTGCTATGGCTACTCCATGGGCTCGAGATGATACCTTTCCTTCTCCCCCTGCGGTGCTCATCCTCTTTGCAGACATAGGCGCATTATGTTTTCTCCCTATCCCTACTATAGGAAGCAGAACCATCTAGCTACTAAGTGTTGAAGGTAGTTTGACAAGTCTACTTTTGCATAGCTGGTGATAACTTCTTTGACTTTAGCATCTCTCGCTCCATCTCATGTTCCAGCTCTTACTTCTATTTGACCTTGACGCCTATGGAGTATGACACCCTTCATCGCCACTAGTGGTACCAGCGATTTTGTCTCTACCAATCTTACCTTGCTTCTAACCTCCTCCACACCAAGTACACACTCTCCTTGCTTCTTCTTCAACACCATAGATTATCGATTCGAGGGCCCCCACTCACATGACCGATATCTTCACTATTCTCTTCTCCTATCAGCCTACTTCAACCCATCCCCTTGTCACCATTGTGGATGGCTAGACCTATCTGGTCAAGAGTCATGGTACCACCTTAGCTTCTCCCTCCCTCCCTCTCACCGAGGTTCTCCACATTTCCGATTTTCTTACTAACCTTCTTTTAATCTGTGCTATTACCGGTGCCCTCCTTTGTACTGTCACTTTCTTTCTCTTTTATTGTAGTTTTCAGGATCTACATACCAAATAGAGGATTCATTTGGGCCATGAAAATAAGCGGGGTGTCTACAAACTCATTTCTGATGAACCTTCCTCTAGCCTTTGAGCATTTCTTGTCATCTTTATGGCCGCTTCTTCTCTTTTATGACATTGTCATTTAGGTCATCCTTGTTTTCCTAAATTAGAAAAAATCTTACTGTAGCTTTCTCTCTCTAAGTTTGTGTGCAAGTCTTGTCAATTGGGCAAACATCACTACACTTCATACCCTAGTCGTGATGACATCTCCTCTTCTGTTCTCTTTGACTTTTTCCATTGTGATGTAGGGGGTCCATCTCGTACTTCCTCTATCTCAAGCCATTACTTTTATAATATTTTTGTTGATGACTACACTTATGTGAGTTGGGTCCACCTCTTTTGTAACCGCTCTGAAGTCATCACCGTAGTTACCCACTTCATCACCGAAGTTATCACTTAATACACCATTACGCTTAAGATTTTTTGTACTAATAATGTCTTTGAGTTTATCCAAACTTCTCTCCACACCTTCTGTGCTAATCATGACATCCTCCACTAGACCATCTGCCCCACACTTCAAAGTAGAATGCCGTTGTCAAACACAAACATTGCCAACCCCTTGACACCACTTGCACACTTCTTCTTGAGATGAATATCTCTCATTATCTCTAGGCTAACATCCTTTTAACTACCACTTACTTCCAGAATTGACTTCCCTCCGCTCCTCTTAGGGGGGTGATGTGGTTCTAAGTCATTATTAGAATCATCAATCAATTTTAATAATTTATAGAACTAGATTCACCAATAATAATAGTAATAATTTTAAATGGATAGTGGTGAGCTAAGTTGTCTCTTCAAAGAAGGTTTTTAAAAATATTTTTATTCTCTAATTTAAAGAATTACGAAATTAATTCGAAGATTTAAATTGATATTAAAAGTAATAAATAAAATAAAATGGTAAATAAATGTAAATATGAATTTAAAAATTAAACAAATTAAATTAGTAAACTAATTATGCTTTGGAATGATAAAAATAGAAGAAAAACAAGTGAAGAAATGATTAAACCTAAAAAAATAAAATTATTTCACAATTCAAACAAGAAAATAATAAAAACTCTATTAAAAATCAAACTTACAACTCTTAGAATGCATGGCTTGATGTCAACCTTTGGGTAGTGCTTCTCAATCTTGCATCTAGTTCAACGGAATGGATTTAAGGTGAAGAGGGTAGAGGAGAATAGTCAAAATCATCGATACAATCTTTAGATTCCTATTTTTACATGAGAAAGGAAAACAATGTTTTCTCTAAAGAACAACCCAAGAACAACTCTGAAAAGACTCCCTTTCTCCCCCCTCCTCCTCCTTTTTGTATCCCAAATCTGCAAATCACATTTTTTATTTTGGCTTCCTATTTCCTACAGTACTTTGTCAATTTTTCTTCATTTTTTTGTCATTTTCTCCTTTACTCGCATGGCAATAATTGACATTATCTATTTTACTAGATGATAATTGATATTTCAACATATACCCTTCCACACACGTGAGAGAATAATTGATATCATCTATTTTACTAGATGATAATTGATATTTGTAAATATATCCTCTGACATGTGATTTAGTGAAAACTGTTTAATCCTCACACCGTCATTTTTCTTTGAAGAGGGGTGATGTGGCCCAATAGTTGTTGTTAGATCTCCATTGGCTCTTCCTACTTTTGTGTGTGCTTTATCAAGATTTGTGTGCATCGATGCCACAATAGCCACCGTTGGATTGGTGGCCACTTTTCATGTGTTGATGGATGCAACGTGGCACCTCTTGGATCGTCGGATCTGCTAGTGGTTGTTGTTGGATCCTAGAGCTACTTTTTCATATGATGGCGGCGGTGACATGCCTTCATGCGGTGCATCAGATCTGACCACTACTATCGTGCTATCATTAGAATTGAAAAGAATAACAAGATACATTTAGTAGATTTATGCGAGTGTTATCATATATAATAATGATAGCCTCTGATTATATTTATTTTAATGCCTAAATTTTTTAGAAAAGTTGCATAAAATATATTTTAATTAATCATAAAAATTTAGCACAATAAATTTTATTTAAAAATAAAATTAATGAGAATTAAGGCTCAAGATATGAAATAAGTTCTCATCAATTTTCTTTTTATTCATAAAATATCAATTTAAATTAAGATTTAGAGAGGTTAATTTAAATATAAAATAAAATAATTAATCATGTTAACTTGTGAAATATTTTTCAAATAGGTATTATTCTCCCTAATTTGATAATAGATTCTCATATAGTTTTCATAAGTTACTAGGGGGCTATTCCTCTCTATCACTTAATCTTTGATTCCTTTCTTTTTTCTCTTCCTCAGGTCTTTTGATGCACTGCCTTTGTTTAGGATTCCTTTCCTTCTCTTTTTAAACTCTCTCCTTGTTCTCTTAAAGTGGTCATTATCAGCTACTCTCACATGCAAAAGGGCTATCAAGTCTACTTCTTAGATACCCGTCGTTATATGACCTTGACCAATGTCACTTTCTATGAGGAGTCTCCTTTCTCCTCCTTAGTTTCGACTCCTCATCCTCCTCACGCTAGTACGTCTCCTCCACTTGGGTTCTCTCCCTTCGTGGTTCTCACGAGCTCCCTCTCTTCTCTTTCCTCCTATCCACTCTCTTTGGGATCGTTACCTATGCCTACCTCTCTTTGGCCCATGTCTCCCATAGCTCCTCCTACTCTGGATGTAATATCCTAATCCTCTCCTACAATCCCCTCTGCACTTTCAGTGGCTGCTCTACTTAATGACCTTCATCTTCCTATTGCCCTCTACAAAGGTACGTGCACTTGCACCCACCATCTCATCTTTTAATTTGTCTCCTATGATTGCCTTTCTCCCTCCTTTCATGCCTTTGCCCTCTTTGTGGCCTTTGAGTCACTTCCACGGTCATATGTTGAGGCTGCACAGATACTTGTGGAAGGTGACTGTGGATTTAGTGGTGGCTGTGTTGGTCGCTCGGGAGTTTTGACATTTGGTTCCGCCCCTGATTGATGCTAACATGGTGACGTACAAGTGAGTGTTTACTAATAAGTCTTCATTATTATGAGTTAATAATTAGTAAAGAATATAGATTTAGCCTTAACTCATTATAAATAGACTTATATTTGTGTTAAAGTGTGAAAAGTAGTTTTCAGTTGATTAACGTGAATTTATTGGTAATTATGTGATTTTATACAAAATTATATGATTTTGATAGTCTTACTTTTGAGATAAATAAAGAAAAAGAAATAAAAATAAAAATATAGTAAAATGGGGGGACCTACCAGCTAGCTGGGCCCGCAAGCAGGTCAGAAGCGTAGTCGGGTAGGAGTGGCGAGTAGGGGCTCAAGTGGCAAGGACTGATAGGGGCACGTGTGCGCTACTCCCCTTCCACATCACTGATGGCTAGCAGGCTATAGGGCAAGGAGTGGTTGTACACGCGGGAGAAAGGGACTTACTTGAAAATATAATATTACTATATATTCACCCGAAACTTCAACGCACAAGCGATGTGGGACTAAACCCACGTCACACCTCCCCCAAAAAGATTTCGATGATCTTAATACCTACAATACCCCTTATTTATAATAGAGATCATGATGATGTCATTTAATAAGGGTATTAGAGTACTTATGTTAATCTCTCTCATGTAGGTAGGCAACCAACGCGGGTTCGAATCCTCTTAGAACCAAAACTCATATTTTTTATTTGATTATCACGACTTTCTTACAGATTGCCAGTGAAAGATTAAGCCGCCATAATTACTAAATCATCGGTGAAAATCTCGTCAATGCGATTTGCGGAGCATTATTACTAAAATTACTGAACGATTCGCGATAAAAGGATCGCGAAACCATTGAGTAAAGCATCTTCGATTGATCGACGAACAAGCTGTCATCGGGAAGAGGACAATCCGCCAGGAGACGAGTCACCACCTTCTGAGAGCGTACCGGATGCGATGAAGAGCCTCCTCTTGCTGCGCAGACCTGAGGATGAAACTCCCTAACATGTGCCCTACCTCCATCCAGCTCCTCTCTGTCGGGTGATAGCCGCCGGAGAGCTGCAAAGTCGCTGGTTTTTCACTCCGCCAAGTGACAGCCACCGGAGATGATTCGACGACCCATTTCATTGGTCTCTAGATTTCGTAAGGAGATCTAGAGATTGCCCACGTCGTCCTTGTCCAAGGAGAGCCTTTGAGACCATAGACATTGGACGACGATCCTTTCGAACGCTCAGGATTCTGATGCATCACTGATGCATCACCGTCGCGACGCCAGAACTCTGTTTTCCTACTTTCAACTTACATTCCACTTCATTTAGTGATAATTTGTGTAATTTAAATTTACCAAAATATACTTGATTCAATTAAGATTCTTCTGGCTTTTACAGATCTTAATTTGATCAATTAAATCATCTGTAATCACTTAAGTAAGAATCATTAGGTGAAACTCTATTTTCGCCCGATTCACGTTCATCGGGCGCTGACGTCATTCTAATGTCTGTACCCTTATTTTCTTTTTTCGTGAATTTTAAATATATTTCATTTTTATTTCTTAGTATAAAATTCATAGAAAATAGTATTCTTTGAGGAATTTTTTTTAATAATTACCTGATATTATATTACATCCTTGTGATTGACTTGGAAAATTGTCACTATTTTTGGAAGTTTTATTGAATTATAATTGATATATTTGTTCCCAAATACTTCAAAATATCTAAAAATTTGTATTTTCTAGTTTTATAAATTTTAAATTTGCATGATTTACTATACAACGATTAAGTCACGTCATTTACCCTCAAGTATCACCTAGATGACTCCATCGCTTATCACAAAGCTTGTCTAGTCGCTCGGGGCTTCACGTAGGCATATGGGATTTGATTATACTGGCATGTTCTCTCTTATCGTCTACCTCAACTCCGTTCGTGTGTTTCTCTCTCTCGTCATCAATCATGTATGGTCTCTCCACTAATTAGATGATTGTAACACCTTTCTCTACAATGAACTCGAGGAGCAGGTCTTTATAGAGCAATCTCTTGGGTATGTTGCTTAGGGAGATTCATCAAAGGTGTGTCTATTACGGCATGCTATTTATAGGCTCAACCAGAGTTCATGTGTTTGATTCCTTAGGATTGAGTTTGTGTATGAGTATGAGAAGCTCGCCCTCACCCAATAGAAGTATGCCCTTGACATACTTCAAGAGACAGGCTTCCTTAGGTGCAAGTCTGAGACTTTGCTTATGGAAACTCACCCATAATTTCTAAGACACTTCATTTCTCCTACTTGAGGATGCTAACTTGTAGCAGTGATTGTTGGCAAGCTAATATATCTCACCATCACTCGTCCTGACATGTTGTACACGATTAGTGTCCTGAGCCAGTTTATGCAAAAGCCTCGACGAGTTCATTGAGAGGGAAGGAGCTCTATGAGTTGTCGCCTACATCAAGCAAGCCCTAGGGAAATGGCTCATCTATTAGTGACACGTCCATCTCTGTATTGTAGCCTACTCTAATGTTGGGTATGTAAGTGACAAGGGTGACTAGAAGTCTACTACAAGTTATTGCAATATGTTGACAGTAACTTAGTCACTTGGTGGTCCTAGAAATAGAGGATGGTGTCCTGCTCTAGTGTGAAATCCAAACATCGAGCCATAGTTGAGATAGTGCAGAAAATGGTATGGCTTTGATCACTTTTCAATGATTTTGGTATTACTTCTCCCTCTCTAATGCCCATGCATTTTGACAATTAAGCCACCATCTTCATTGACGGTAATCCTAACTTTCATGAGTATACAAAGCACATTAAGATTAACTACCATTACATTTGAGATAAGGTTATGTCTGGACTTATCTCTACTCCTCATGTGGCATCATCTCATCAGCTTGTGAATGTCTTTACAAAGAGTTTGGCCAGCATCCCCTACGACGTCTTGCGTATCAAGTTGGACATATTCAACTTATATGCTAGAGGGGAAATGTTCAGTAATGATATCAAACTCCTAGTCCACTAGGGCACATTATCTGTTTTTCTCTTCTCATCTCTCATCTCTCTTATATAAGAGTCATGTATTCTACTTTGATGTTTTATAGATTCTAAGAATTTTCCTTCATGTGTCAACAGATCTTATTTCAATAATCAACATATTAAATGGTCAATATATCTTTAAATAACTACAATTAGGGTCTAGCTTCAACATACACTCCTCTATTGAGATGTCACTCATTTAGGGTAAAATATATCTCTAGTGCTCCTTATTAAAGCTAAGTTTTTGTGATTTAATTAGTTTTATTAATTTTATTTTATTTTGTTAACTTGTAGAATAAATATAGGATATATTTTAAGTTTAGAAGTCTGAACTTAAAATACTTAATGTAGTTTCTGATTATTTAAAAATATAAAAGAATATAATATAAAAATATTCCGCTCGCTAGCAAGCTGGCCTCGGCAGTTGACCCGGAGGGGCACTACGATTGAGTGGGTAGACCCAAATTGGGGGAGGCATGAGCTGGGCTCAAGTGGTGAAGAACTCGCTATGCACATATGTGCATCACTCCTCTGCCACATCTTGGTGGCCAACTAGTTGTGGAGCAAGGAGCGTCCGTACACACGTGTGTGCGTGAGGGTGGACCACCTTTTTGTCTTCTCCCAAGATGGTCATAAGCATTATTTTATTTTAGGAGAAAGGATCTTTGATGAGCGGCTGTAGCTTTGATTTATATTCAACTCATGTGCCGAAATATTTCTGATGTGGTACTAAACATTTTCATGTGTTTCAAACAACCATCAATAGCACAGTGTGATCTAGGGATGTTCAGCAAGTCACATCATCAAATAAGCTAGATCCTGCAGCTAGTGAACCGCCATGATATCAAGAATCCATCGATAGTTTCTGAATCTGTCGTCACTCAGCATACACATGGCCTTAAATGATGATCTGATTACTAAGGAGGCGCCACAATACTAGGAACTTAAGTTCTTAGTTGGCAGCAGTTTGTGACGGGTTGATCCTATGTCGCTCAACGTGCCACATGGCCAAGCACATCTGATCTAGTGGTTCACGACATGTCACAATATTGAGAATTTAAATTCTTGCACATATCATCATTAGGGATATAGAGACAATAATTAATTATTGTCTCAGAAAATAGATATTATCGATTATCTTTAAAATCTTGACGGCAATCGCAAACGCGACAATTTATTTCTTCCCTCCTTTTGCGTGATCAATGCCTCTAACGATCGACAAGTTTGTTCTTTCCTCCCCCAACTATACTCAAGGCCTCTAGCAAGTGGTCAACTCTTTCCTTCTCCCCTAGATGATAGTGACAGCATGGTCAACCCCTTTTTTGGTGGCTCTCTCTAGTAAGCAGCATAGTACTTCTGAATGATACTTTTGCAACTTTCAATGTGGTGTGACACATCTAGACAAAACCAAGCCATCACACTGGTGTCTCCAATTGTCTAGGAGGTAGACTAAATTTTGGCAATGATTTATTTTCTACTTTTAACATTTACTTACCTATTTTTGCCATTTATTCAGACGCTTAGACTACACCTAAAACATACTCCATCATTTTTGGAAATGAGAGAGATAACAATCTTAGGGCATCATGACCATGTTGATTTGAGCTAGTTGAGGGTTTGCGGTGAATAATACCACTTTTGGGGGGGTTCCCTTAAATGCCTAGTATTGTCTTCTTTTGACACTTTGAGCCTAAAGGAAAATCAGACGAATTGATGATTTATATTTTATGACAAGTGACATGACTTAGTCGTTGTATAGTAAGTCACATAAATTCAAATTTATAAAACTAAGAAATACAAATTTTCAGATATTTAGAAGTATTTTTAAACAAATATATCAATTATAATTCAATAAAACTTCTAAAAATAGCAATAATTTTCCAGGTCGATCATAGGGATGTAATATAATATCAGGTAATTATTTAGAATTTTCCTCAAAGAATATTATTTTCTATGAATTTTATACTAAGAAATGAAAAAGAAATATATTTAAAATTCACAAAAAAAGAAAATAAGGGTGCAGACGTCAGGATGACATCAGCACCTGACAAATGCAAATCAGGCAGAAATAGTGTTCCACCTAGTGATTCTTACGTAAGTGATTATAGACGATTTAATTGATCAAATTAAGATTTATAAAAGCGAGAAGAATCTTAATTGAATGAAGTATATCTTGGTAAATTTAAATCACACAAATTATCATTAAATGAAGTGGAAAGTAAGTTGAAAGCAGGAAAATAAAGTTTCGGCATTACGGCGACGATACGTTGGTGATGCACTGGAATCTTGAGTGTTCAGGAGGATCGTAGTGCAGTGTCCACGGCCTCGAAGGCTCTCCTTGGACAAAGACGACATGGGTAATCTCTAGATCTCTTTGCAAAGTCTAAAGATCAATGAAATGGGTCATCAAATCGTCTTCAGTGGGTGTCACCTAGCAAAGTAGAAAAACGGTAACTTTGTGGCTCTTCTGTGGTTGTCACCCGACAAAGAGGAGCTAGATGGAGGTGGGGCGCATGTTAGGGAGCTTCACTGAAGTTTCAAGCAAATATATAGTAATATTATATTTTCAAGTAAGTCCCTTTCTCCCGCGTGTACAACCACTCTTTGCACCACAGTCGGCTAGTCATTGGTGACATGGAAGGGCAGTGGCGCACACATGCCCGTATTGGTCCTAGCCACTCGAGCCCTTGCTTGTGGCTCCTCCCTAACTGCACTTTTGACCCATTTGCAGGTGTGGCTGGCTGACAGGTGCCCCCCCATTTTGCTATAATTTTATTTTTATTTCTTTTTCTTCATTTATCTCAAAAGTAAGATTATAAAAATCATATAAATTCGTATAAAATCACATAATTAATCAATAATTTACGTTAATCAACTAAAACTACTTTTCACACTTTAACACAAATATAAGTCTATTTATCATGAGCTAAGGCTAAAACTATATTATTTACTAATTATTAACTCATGATAATGAGGACTTATCAACAAATTATTTCTATTTCATGCATGTTTCGATCAGAATGACCAGATCTAATTCAAAACTTGAATGATTTTCATTCTTCTTTTAGATCCTCTCAAAACTCATCTTAGATTAAGCTAAGACCATTTTCAACTTATTTTTTATTATTTTCACAGTCGAATCTTGATATATTCGGGTTCTTAATGTTTCATAAATAGCAGTTATTCTTCTATTTTTGAATGCAAAATCAGCGAGATTAAAGGCTGCTTAATGATCGTTGAACTATTAAAATAATTTAGAGATATTTATAGCTGACCTCATGTCATGTGTGTGAATTCTCGACCACACATCCATCTCAGAATAATGGTCATTGTGAAAACGGGTAGACCATATTTCTCTCTTTCTTTATTATCATCTTATTTCTCCCTCTTCCTCTCTCATGAGGCTACTTCTTCTCTCTCCCTCTCTCTCCCTCTCTCTCCCTCTCTCTCTTGTGAGACTTTTCTCTCTCTATATCTCTCACATGAGATTTCCTCCTCTTTCTTTCTCTCTCTTTACGAGAGATCTCTTCTCTCATCTTTCGTAAGAGCTCTCTCTCTTCTCTCTCTTTTCCTTTATTTCTCCACTTCCCTTCTTTTATTTTTCTCACCTCACCCTTATATTTTATAGTTACTGTTAATTATTGATAAAATATTAAATCACTTTATATATAAACTAAATTAGTTTTCACAATGGATTAATCAATCTCCCTATGTTTGACTTGAGACTTACTTTTATATTAATATTTTATTAAGTCTTAGTTATAAATATTATTAGATAATATATATTTAAACACAACAATAAGTGCAAATCACTCCTATTATCTAACTATCTGGGATTTAATATATTATTTTTTAAATGTCATCAAGAGATCATATGAATAGTCCCCCTTACATATTTGACTAACCATAACCTCATGATAAGATTGCTAGTTATGCACCTGACCTTGATTCATTGAGAGCTTACATATTTTTATCACACCCATACAACTTTCACAAGGGCACGACCAACATAGGCCAAACATGGACAAGGAATGAGGCATAAAGTTGAGTTACCATTTAGTTGATATTTGGCAAAGGATTTGCCTATATGCCACAGGCAACCTTATTCTTGGCATGTGTTTTTGTTAATGGTGGTGCCTCATTGGAGAAAGAGAGAGAGAGACAGAGAGAGAAAGAAATAGGAGAATGTGGTTGTGGTCCGGGACATGAGATAATGATTAAAATTGGTTAATTTGTAATTCAATTTAATTGGTAGTTACAGGGTGCAAATAATATCAAATCCTACCGTATACAAACATAAGCATAAAAACTGATAACAAGGTTAAAAATACCTTCAGTTAAGGTCAGAAACACCAACAAAGTATTTCGATTTCAATAGGAGCTGTACATTGTTGTGGGATTAACATTGGGCAATTTCATTCAGGGTTTTCTATTATCCAGTTTGCAATTCATTTGAGTCAATTTAGGTGACTGCATAGAACGAAATGATAATTTACTGTTGGACACAGGTTGGGAGAAAGGCATGCATTTTATGTTGTCAATATTAAGATGGTTTCTTTCTACAAGATTTTTTTAGATGAAACTCATTATAACCTTAATACATGATAATTTCCTTTGTGACTGACGGAAAATTGTAGTTTTGATAGCCTATTTCTCTGGTTTGAAGAAACTGTTGCTGCAAGCCACTCCTAAGGCGTGCCACCTTGGGCAATGATATATGTTGTATAGTCTTGGACAGCAATTAATTCGGCTAATATCACATTAAGACAGTTTTTAGAGTTAAGGTACGTTAAACATATATCCTTTTTTCATTTTAGAGTAATATTTTATTTAACAGATAATTTAAAATAACTGATGAAATTTTTAATCAAAAAATTAAAACTTCTTACAACACTCTTTCGAAGCAGTAAATGTCAAGAGCTACAAATCGTACAGGTAGGAAGTTTGAGGTTGGTGAATGGGATTCCGAGCCTTAGACTATCTTGCGCCTGAAATATATATATCCGTCATAACTAACGTACAGGTAGGAAGTTTCATTCCGATGTTAACGCGTGGACCACGTCAAAGAACCTCTCTCTCTCTCTCTCTCATTACATCTCTACAGATCCGCTCTCCTCACTTTGAACTGGTCACTCCCGCCGCAAACCCGATTTCTCTATCTTCTGTGGCGTTATAAGGGTTCTATCATCTTTACGACTCCCATTGCCCTCATGATCCGCGGCTCCCTTCCTACTACGCGGGAAAGAGACGCAGCCGGCGATACACGGTCCTCTCCACGAGCTTTCTAGGCATGTATATATAGCTCAGGAGAGAGAACCCAATCAAATGAGTCCCAACCTCCCTTCCCACAAATCTGCTTCCCCAGCATAGGCCATGCCCTTTCCTGTTGACCTAAGATGTGCTAGGAGGATCGCCCAAGTCGCCATTGCAGTCGGAATTGCCAGCGTCATCAATTACCCACATCAGCTCTCTGGAGTATCCAATTCCTGGTTCTCTCCTGAAAGCTATTCGTTTTTCATGTTCCTGGGTTTTTTAGCTGGAATCGTGCTGCTTTTCTTCGTTACGGATCCTAAATTGGCGAAGAATATCAAGCCGACCCTAATTCCCTTTTTCATATTTTTGGCGGCCGTAACGTCGGTGTTTTTGGACGCCCACTGTGAAAATTCTCCGGCGATGAGGAGTATCAAGCTGTTCCTTCTTAAATGTATCTTGTGATCTCGCAGGAAATGTAAATCCAGCTATCAAGAAATGGGTAACGTAAACGGCGTTTCGAAGAGTATGATAATACGATACCCTTGCTGATTCCCTCTCAAAGGCGGGGATCAACAATTGTTTGCCCCTGTAATTAAGTTAATGATTTTCTCTTCTGATCATTTTAATAACATCTTTGTTATAACTATAGTGCGACAATCTAGATTCCAATTTGACTTTCTTTTCTGTCCATAATGATTGGGCTTCGCCACATGCACTCCCTTCCTGTAAACAGCAATATAGGCACGTCATATTCCACCCATCTCTAGTTCTATAAGGACAACTTGCAAGGTCAACGCGGAGATATTTTTCCTTTTAACATCCGACTTAGTTTCCTAGCCTCTTATAACATCTCTTTCTAGGCTGGGAGCCCACTAAGCAATAATTGGTTAAAGATCCTGAAATCAAGCTGATCAGCTAGAACGGACTTACGCAGAGATTGCTCACATCGATCTTATTCCTGGCTTTGCCCAACATCTCATTTCACATGGTGGCTATCTATTTCCCACTATGAAGATGATGACCATGTCTACGAATGACTAGATGCTGACTCAGTTGACTTGGTCAGACTTGAAGCTAGTCCTCGTTTGTGAAAAAAAACATGCCTTTCTGCCTCTAGGAAACAGGCCGTATCGGGTTCATATTGACTCAAATCCGGACCAGTCAAAGCTCACAGTATTCTTAAAACCTTTTACTATGTCTGCTTTGCTCTTTTATCCTTTTTGTGGCTGTGATACCAGAAAAAGTTACAGCTTTGAATCTAATGTCCGGCTCATTACCTTTGTCTACCATTTGACTTTGAAATTTTACTCGATGGAACGTCAAAATACTGGGAGCTAATGCTTTATACTCCTCTCGTTTCACCTTCTATGTAGTGTATCATTTCTTGGTGCTTTCAGTATGACTCAAAGGCAGTGGTGGGAGGACAAAATGATCAGAAATAACGCATCCGTTCAATTTATTCTTGCCTTTGACTTTTAAACTTCTAGGGCCCACACGAGCCTCACCCATTCGTTCCTTAGATCCCAATCGATCCCCATATAGTTGACGCGTTCAACTGCTGCCAACCGAGCAATTCACATCTTCTCCCGCCGCCCCTCTTTCTTTTCTCCTCTGTCTACTCTCCTAGCTTCCTCTCTCTTTCTCTCTCTCTACTCCTCTCTTCTCCACCCTTCTCTCTCTCTCTCTCTCTCTCTCTCTCGCTGCTCCCCTCTTCTCCCTCCCTTCTCTCTGTCTCCTCTCTCTCTCTCTCTCTCTCTCTCTCTCTCTCTCTCTCACTCTCTGCTCCCCTCTTCTCCCCCCTTCTCTCTCCCCCAGCCCCCCAACACCCCCCCACCGCAGGTCACTCGCTCTCTCTTCTATCAGTTTCCATACAAGAGGAGGGGGAACTGTTTGTTGCGGGCTTCGGGCTCCTCTCCAATTCTGGCAACCTTCTATGTCGAGTGATGCCGCAGATTAAGGGAGGAAGACAGGCGCTCTCGAATCATCCTCGGGGCTTCAGAAGTGTCATGTCGTGAGCAAGGAACAGAGGTGCACGGCTCTAGTCGAAGAGCAAAGTTGTTGACCAGATCTGGTATGCAAAGTCCTTTGTCCTTTGTAAGTCGTAGTAATGCAGAGGAGAGAAATCCCACGTGAGATAGAGAGAGAGAAAAGTCTCACGAGAGAGAGAGAGAGAGACATAGAGAGAAAGGAGAGATCTCACAAGAGACGGAGAGAGAAGAGAGGTCTCATGAGAGAGGGAGAGAGAGAAATAAGATGAAAATGAAGAAAGAGAGAAATACGGTCAACCCATTTTCTTGGACGAATGTGTGCTCGAGGATTCACACACATGATATGAGCTCAGCCGTGAATGTCTCCAACTTGTTTTAACTATTGAACGCTCATTAATCATCCTTTAATCTCGGTGATTTTGTGTTCGAAAATAGTAAAATACTCATTATTTGCGAAACACCGGGAACATGAATATGTTGAGATTCAACTACGAAAATTAATAGAAAACAAGTTGAAAATGATCTTAGCTTAATTTCAAATGAGTTTTGGAGGATTCAGAAGAAGAATGAAGATCATTCATCAAGATTTGAATTAGGTATACTCATTTCAATCAAAATGTGTATGAAATAGAAAGAACTTGTCGTAAAATGTAAACAAATGATAAAAGTAAGTAAGTAAATACTGAAAATAGGAAATAAATCATTACCCAAGTTTAGTTTACCTCCTAGGCAATTGGAGACACTGGTGTGATGGTTTGATTTTGTCTAGACGTGCCACACCACACTGGAAGTCGCAAAAGTATTATTCGGAAGTATTGCGCTGCTTGCCGAAGAGATTTGCCAAAAGAAGGGTCAACCACACTGTCACTATTGTCTGAGAGGAGAAGGGAAGAGTTGACTCCTCACTAGAAGCCTTGAATGCAGTCAGGGAAGGAAAGAAGAAGCTTGCCGATCGCCAGAGACATCGATCATGCAAAAAGAGGGAAGAACGGATTGTCGTATTTGCGACCACCCTCGGGATTTTAAAGATGATTGATAATATCTATTTTACTAGACAATAATTGATTATTGTCTGTATATCCCTAATGGTGATATGTGCGAGAACTTAAGTTCTTGATATCGTGGCATTTTAGGAGCCACTAGATCAGATGAGCTTGGTACGTGGCACGCTGAGTGATGCAAGATCAATCTACTACGAACCACTACTGATTGAGAACTTAAGTTCCTAGTATTATGGCGCCTCCATAGCTCTCGGATCATCTTTTAAGGCTACATGCGTGCTATGTGACATTGGATTTGTGAACCGCCGATGGATCACTTTACGTATTTGGTATAGTTGTTGTTCGTTAGCTATATGATCTAGTTAATTTGATGACGTGGCTCTTTGCGAACTATAGGATCGCACTGCGATCTAGATGGCTACGCTGAAATAGATGAAAACATTTAGTCCCATAGCAGAAATATATCAGACACATGTGTCAAATATAAACTAAAGCTTCTCTCCCTCAGTAGAGATCCCTTCTCTCGAAATAAAATAATGCCCAAGACCATCTTGGGAGAAGGCAATAAGGTGGTTCACCCTCGTGCGCACACGTGTGTATGGGCACTCCTTGCCCCACAACTGGTTGGCCATCGGGACATAGAAGGGGAGTGACGCACACGTGCGCGGAGCGAGGCCTTTGTCACTCGAGCCCAGCTCGTGGCTCCCCCAATCTAGGTCTACCTGGTCAACCACTATCCCCCCTTTGGGTCAGCTACCGAGTGTCGGCTTGCTAGCGGGTGGAAGATATTTTTTATATTTTTTTATTTTTTACTTTAATCATAAAAAATTATGCTAAGTATTTGAACTTTAGACTTTTGAAATTAACAATATATACTATATTTATTCTGAAAGTTAAAAAAATAAAATTAAATAATAAAACTAATTAAAACACTTTAATCTACTTTTAACAATATCCTTACTTGGTGATGTGAGTGACGTGGGAAGAGAGTGACACACGTGTGCCCCAACTTGTCTTTAGCCACTCAAGCCTTCTACTCATTGCTCTACATGACCATTCTTCTAACTCACTTGTGGACCCAATTGACTTGTAGGTCCCCCTCATTTTTATATTTTATATTTTATTTTATTTTTTATTTATTTTACCTAAAAGGATTATAAATTATATAAATTTACATAATTAACCAAAAACTTATATGAACTAATTAAAATTTAGTTTCTCAATTTAACATAAATATAACTCCATTTATCATGTTAAGGCTTAAAATATATTATAATTAATTATTAACACATAATAATGAAGACTTATTATCCTTTATGTCACTAGTGAAGGTAGAAGTGTCGATAGCATAGAGTGATAGTAATGATGATCATAGCACAATAGATATAAGGACAAAAGTAGTAGTAAAAGTGAGCTCCTTTCTTGGATTATAGGTGGAGATGAAAGCTAAGCATGGCAATGATGGTGGCTACTAGGACAGATGGACTACATCTATAGTGAGCTGAGCACAATGGTGAATAGATGGATTCCTTTTGATTGCATCTCAAACTTCTCTTGGGCAATAGATCAAGAGGGGTGAAAAGACTATTAATTAAAAAATTTACTATGTTCTTTACTAATGATTTTGCACACTCTAATACTGTTTGTGATTTAGTTGAGCACTTGTTCACTCAAACCACTTGTGGGTGATGAACTTGATGTTGAGGAACTAAATTTCTTTCGTTTTTCTTTAATTTTCCTCACTCTATCAAGTTACATAGTTACTTTTGTCCTATTGATTTAATATGCATTTGTGAACATAATTGATTTTAGGTTTGACAATTATTCATGAGGATTGACCCAAATAGCTAGAAGTTTAATGCTGATTCATGTTATTTGAGTTTGGAGAAAATATGTAAATTTGACATGGTTTATTTCAACAACTTTAATCCAATCAATGTCACTATTCTCTCTTCTCACATATTTTTCTCTTTGCACTCTCCTCTCCCTCTTGTGCCAATCTTTATTTCTTTCTCTCCTCTCTCTCTCTTTGTTCTTTGCAGTGTTTTATATTTCTTTAACTGTTTATTCCAAGTTCAAGCTAAAAACTAGTACATATTTCTGACTTGATACAAGGGGGGGGAGAGTTGCACATATTACTCATGGCTAATTGGGTGAAGAACATCTCTTCTACTCTCCCTCTCCTTCATTTCTTTCATTCATTTTATTTAGTTTTTCATTTTTTTAGATAGTACAAGGAGTTAACATGAGAATTTATTACCTTTCCTATGGAATGAGCCTAAGCTTATTGCAAGTACTTGGTTTAGTTTAACATAAATATTAAATTTGACATCTTTTAATACTATGACTAAGTGACAATCAACTAAGGACATTGTAGGTGCTCATTTGCTGATTGACCAAACACCACTATAGGCACTTGCCAAATTACAACAAGTACCACTGGCACTCATGTGTAGCATGAGTACATCTCTAGTACTTGTATGATAGAAAAGACGTCACCTTGCTATAGTTGTCTTCTCATCTAATCTGGGTCATCTATTCATCAATTTTGGATTACACCCCTCCATGAAGCACAAAATCTCAAGGTGATAAGTTAACAAGTGATATGACTTTTGCCTTTACTAAGGCATTTGTGATAAATACTATTTGCAGTCGTTGTTACTTAGGGATGATGAAACTTGGAAGGATTGAGTTGTGAATTGATGAGATAATGAGACGTGTTGCATTGTAACTATCTTTTGCTTAAGTTTCGCCAATGGTGACCTATAAATCTGTTAATATAGTTCCTTATATCCACTAGCATATTGATCAAAACAATAAGATAACTATCATAAAGCCATCATGACTCTAGATATTCATGTTAATATTAAAAAAAAACCTAGTAAATAGCCTAAGCATTTGACGTGCCATATATATATTAGATTTAATATCAATTCTTGTGTGTGCAAATCATGTAGCATATGACGTGACTTAGTTATCGTATGATAAAACACATAAATTTAAAATTTATAAAACTAAAAAATATTAATTTTTGGATTTTTAAAAATAATAGAATAAATAAATCAATTATAATTCGATATAAGGTTCTAAAAATAGTAGAGAATTTTCAAGTCAACCATAAGGATGTAAGTTAATATTGAGTAATATTTATATTTTTTAAAAATATTATAATTTTTAATAATTTTTAGACTAAATAATAAATATAAAATATATATTTTTTTAAAAAAGGGTGTGAATGTCAAAATGATGTCAAAGCCTGATGAATACAAATCAGGTGGAAATAGAGTTCTGCCTGATGATTCTTATGTAAGTAATTATAGACAATTTAATGAGTCAAATTAACTTATGTAAAAATCAAAAAATCCATAATCTAATGAAGAGGAGTTTCGAAACTTGAAATTACACAAAATATCATTAAATTAAGTGAAAACTAAATTTAAAGTAAGAAAGGTAAAGTTCCAACTTTGCAACAATGATCATCAAAATTTTGTGTATTCGAGAAGATTATCGTCTAATGTGTATGGCCTCGAAGGCTCTCTTTGGACATAGATTTTCTTGTAAAGTCTAGAAATCAATGAACTAAGTAGTCAAATTGTCTTCAACATTTCTCACCCATTAGAGTAGAAAAATAACAATTGTGCAACTCTCCAATGACTATCACACAATGGAGATAAGCTAGATGGAGGTAGAGTGTATCTTAGAGAGCTTCTTCCTCAAGTTTGCATAGCAAAAGGAGGTTCTTCATCGCATCTGATATAGTCTTAGGAGGTGGTAACTTGTCTCCTCATAGATTGTCCTTTTCTTGATAAATCAGAGATGATTTACTTGATAAATTTACGATCCTTTTATCCATAATCATTTATAAATTTTAATAACAATACTTTACAAATTATGTTGGTAAAAAATTTATCGATAATTGAATGATTATGACAGTTTATTTGATCACTAAAAATTTATAGAAAAATCACAATTTAATCTGATAAAAATATGAGTTTTGACTTTGATAAGATTCAAACTCTCTTTGGTCCATGCCTATATGAGAGATAGTGAAATAAGTATGTGAATATCTTTATAAAGTGACATCATTATGATATTTTTGTTTGATAAATAAAAGGTATTTTAGGTGTTAAAATTATTAAAATCCTTTGGGGAGGATATGATCGTCGGTTTAGTCCCACATCGGTTATATGTCTAATTTTGAGACAAATCTATAATAATACAAGATTTGGTAATAAATATGTTCATTTCTCATGTGTGTATGACCATCTTTGCCCCACACTCAGCTGGCCACTAATGATGTGGAAGGGGAATGATGCACAAGTGTCCCCTACTGTCTATCTTTAGTCATTTGAGCCCTTATTCCTAGCTCCACCCAACTATGTTTACAACCTCCTTATAGGCCCAGTTGGTCGGTGGGTTCTTTCTATCTTTTTCTTTTATTTTATTTTTCTTCATTTATCTCAAAAATAAGATTATTAAAATTATATGAATTTATATAAAAATATATAATTAACCAAAATTTCACATTAACTAATTAAAAACTACTTTTCATAATTTAACATAAATATAAGTTTATTTATCATAAGTTAAGGCTAAAACTAACTCATGATAATGAAGACTTATCACATTGCAGTTCGAAGTATATAGTTTTCCATGGATGGTCTTTTTTAATCCAAAGTGAATTAAATAGTCTAAGCAATTCAATATGGAGCTATCAATTAGAGAAGAGATGCTTAAGAAATTTCAGTCAATTGAAAATCAAGAAAAAATTTCTTCATCATAGAGAAGTTATCTGGTTGCGAAAAAGTTAGTTTGCTGAGCACTTGTAAAGATGGGGAAAATAATCATAGATAAAGGATCACTTTAGATGCTGATGAAACAATCTGAGAGAATGGAACTTGCTGTCAATAGTACAAGATAAAATTTGATGTGTTGATTGGGTAACAATTATAACATGAATATGGACTATCTAGCAAGCAAGTTCTTGAATTCTAGACAAAACTCTTAAGTCAGTTTAAACATCTACAGGGAAGCAGATTCGTGAATACTAATTGGCCCAATGTTCAAACTAAAAAAGATAGAAATGCCTAATTTTAATTATGAATTTTCATCCAAAAACCTTCAAAAAGGTTGAAATTAGGAGTGGATCAGAATGGCATTGCATAATATCATTCCTGCAACAAAGTATAGTTGATTCAAAGTTCAAAGAATTAATTAGTGTTTATCACCAAAAACGAAGATATTTGTAACCCTTGTTATCAATTGTTGTTCGCAACCTATCTATAACTGCCACCTACATTGACAATAAATAGCCAATTTCAATCATTATCACATCCCTAGGTCACATCACCAAATTTGTCTCATTGTTCTCTCTCCCACTCTATACATTGTATGTACATATGTATGGTATGTATGTATATAGCATGTATGTAGGTATGTATTTTTTTATGTAGTCAGTATGTATATATCTTTCAATCTATTTATCTAGGTATTTATGATGTATGTATGTATTTTTATATCTTTCAATCTATTTATCTATGTATTTATGATGTATGTATGTATTTATATATCTTTCAATCTATTTATCTATGTATTTATGATGTATGTATGTATTTATATATCTTTCAATCTATTTATCTATGTATTTATGATGTATGTATGTATGTATGTATTTATATATCTTTCAATCTATTTATCTATGTATTTATGATGTATGTATGTATGTATGTATTTATATATCTTTCAATCTATTTATCTATGTATTTATGATGTATGTATGTATGTATTTATATATCTTTCAGTTTATTTATCTATGTATTTATGATGCACGTATGTATGTATTTATTTATCTTTCAATCTATTTATCTATGTATTTACGATGTATGTATGTATGTATCTATCTATCTATCTATATCTGTGTTAGTCTCTCTCTTCGTCCACAAGACACAAGAGCCACCACGAACACGTCTAGAATAAGGTTTACTTTGACATAATCAAATCCTGAACGAAAATTAGACTCAATGGTAAGTAAGATTTTTGCTTCCTTTCCAGGTGCAAGCATGCCATGCATGGGTTTATGGCTCCATGAAAGCTGTCTGATTCTG